TCATCGAAGCCTTTTTATGTGCAAATATCAATATAGAATGTATTTGTTCCAGAGGAGTTTTTTGAATAGGGTGTCTAACATCCTAAGGAAGTTTTTGTAGGCCTGTGGATCTTCACAAACTAATTCTTTCAGCAGTTTCCAACCTCCTCTGCCCTCTTTTCGTCTTTCTAACCATGGAATTGTCCATCGACTTTTGATTGATTTATACCGTGGTTTTCTCAATGCCAAAACAATAAAAACTGCTGCAGCATAAGTAGCTAATGATACTAGATTATTTGTTGTTATCTTCATTGCTTCTTTGTTGAATTATCAGAAATCATTGTTGGATTTTGGATTCAAATTCAGTTGTCAGTTGTTTATTTGCATGACCAATGAGAACAAAAGACTGTGACACATACGAAAAATAAATTGTTGAAAAGATGAACTGAAAACTTTTCAAATTCTATTGAGTGTCAGACAAGACACAAAACAATATAAAATTTTATATACTTATTTTGCATTGACAAATTCACTATCGAATTATATGTATAATTTTATATAGAAATCAATCAAGTGTCACACGGGCCTAAAGCATATTTGTATCTCATGTTTTTGTTCAGCTGTTTTATAACATGACAAGCAAGTTCTCATCCTGTAGAGTTATTTCAGGCACTCTAACTCTGGCCAGTAACTCAGAGACTATAATATGTATTGCCACATTATGTAAAATATATGGGCGCAGTAGTATTGGGCAAGAGTTTGATACCAAGTGAATATCTCTGTGGCCGTTCTTCAGATTATTTAGAATTCTTTTATAGGATGATTTCGTGACATAGCGAATTCGGAAATGATGTCGCCAACGTTGCCACGTTTTCAGTATTTCTGGAGTTCTTTGCAAGTTTTTTATAGTTTATTATTTCAAAAGGCACAACCTACATATTCCTAAGAGATAAGGAAATGAAATTCATCTGAAATTTGCGACAGAATGAGATCCCATATATTTTGTTTCGTTACCACATCTCAAGGATTTTAGGAATTCTTGAAAATGAATTTGTGAAAAACTGAAAGATTGAGCTAACGAGGGCCCAATCCAGTGACCATAATCAGAAGAGTGACATATTTGTGTATGGACCAGGTGCTCTAATGAAAAATACCGCGCCAGTTTCAGGTATAGGGACAAGACGTGGTAAATGTTAGGTTAGAGTGAGCATATCAACAATAATAATAGCGATTATTTATTTCTCCCCATACTCTTCTGTGTTTGGCTTGAAAATCGAATGATGGTGAACAATATGATTATTTGAGACAAAAAACTTTTGCTGTTCTTGATTATTCAAAAACAAGATATTCATCCCAAGAATAACGCATGAAATACAGATCAAGCAAGTATTTGAATCTTGAAGGCTTCCCTGATCAAAACAAAAATACTTAACTGAGATGTTTGGAAGGCGAAATCTGCCGAAATCAGAAACAAATCAGGTACGTGTCTCAACTCAAATAACCGACCGTAACCATGTTGTTTTTCTGCAACCGACACATAAGTCGTCCATTTTGATATACCAAAATAAGCTCTCAGATTGACGTTTCTATTACTGACACAAAAATAGGTATGTTGCTACACTGAGAAAAACTGGTTGATTAAAACGTCTAGTTGGTATTTTTTTAGTACCGATAATTAAAAATATTTGGAATTTTATTAACAATGACAACGTATCCTTATTTCCTACAAATGACTTTTCTATTTTTCGACAATTATTTGTCATCAATAAAAATACTATTTGTGACAGAATTATCACAGTGATGTCTATTTAGTCAATTAAAATTTCATATTGGGGTCAAAAAACCTCATTCTGGGGTTACTAACAACAGCTGACTATTTGCCACAACTGATGACACATTTATCGTAAAAGGTTTATCATTATTCATAGCAGAAATTGTTTAGCCATAACTAATAATTTTAGTTGTACTGCGTCGTTCGGGACCACCTCGCGTCTCTTCGGGACCCACCGGTAAAAATTGCATCTTGCATCTGTTTGTCTTTCTGTTTCATCATTTGAACTTGTATCTTGATAGTGGGTAGATCGCACGGTCGTCGAGCTTAGACAAAATAAATAAAATAATTGTCTAGTGTAGCCAGGAGCGTCGTGTTCTTGCTGGTTCACTGCTCTGTGTGTTTTCAAATCACTGTTTCGTGTTTTTTTGCACTTTGCGCTGAGCCATTTGGCATTTGGTTGGCAAAATAATAATTCGCAGTTTACCATCGTTATCTGTGCGTCACTAGTTATCAGGTTTAGGTACCTATTCACAATTCAGTTCAGTTTACGAAGGGCGACGGTGAGAAGCGTCCATCCGACGTCACGTGGACACGGTGTATATTTATAATTCCCTCTCATTTTGCTGAGCTGTGGCCTGTGGCACTTACGGTGTGTGGTGTATTCCTGTTCACGATTCCATTGGAAATTGGAAGGAAAATGGCATACAAACTGTTATTATTAGAATGGGGCCATGATTTTAATTGATATAGAACTATTAAGTTGCCAGAATAACTAAATTATATTTCAAACGTTACTAAATCACTTTTAATAGTAACTAGATTCCATTTTAGTCACAATTAAATATTCAATTTGCAACAACACACTCACTATTAACGTCAGAAGAAATGAGTAATTGCTCCAACTGGGATAATTTGTTGTGATAACAAACATATATTGAAACAGTACTAACAATCTAATTGTCATAACTATGTATCTTGATTGTGGCAAATAAAACTTGGTATTATTCCTTAAAAAGGCTTATTAGTTACCACAACAACGTCGTAGATGACTCAACTAAATTTTTCATTTGAGGCAAATAGGCGTTTCCAGAAAAACATAATTAGTTATGGCAACAACTAATGCTTGCTGTCCCCTATCGTACTAAAAAATTTTTCTGTAGTTACTAATTTTTAAGTAACGGCTACAAATTTTTTTCCTCAGTGTAGGCAACATATTTAGTTCCTAGGAGCTTAAGTTTAATTTCAGTTCCTAGGAGCTAAAGTTGAACTTCAGCTCCTAGGAACTTAAAAGGATGTACTGGACGTTATCAAGAATAAACAACATTGTGACGGTTTTGGTTATTGGGGTTAAGACGTATACCTGATTTGTTTCCGATTTCAGCAGATTTGGCATTGCATCCCCATGCTGTGGATAAGAATACACCCTATTATAGATGAATGCAGGAACTCTAAACATCTCAATTAAGTATTTTTGTTTTGGTCAGGGGAGCCTTCAAGATTCACATACTTGCTTGATCTTGCATATTGAAACTACAATTCGAACATCCTTGAAAATAGAATAAACCTGCTGTTAATGCATGTAGAATATTCTCACCACACGGATTTTGCATTGATTTTGACTTACTGCATTGCAAACGTATGACACGGCATTGGTGGTTACTTCACATATTTATTTGAGTTGATTGTTTCGGTTGCAAAAAAAATAGTATGTTTCATTCGGATCAAGAAGGACTTCGTTTGATTCGCAAATTTTGCTTTCGCTCGGCTTCGCTAATCGCTTTGCCTCGCCAATGCCAAATTTGCTTGTCAAACAAAGTGCCACTTTTGATACTTGATGAAACAATCTACTATTATCCTTTATGACCTCTAGTACATCCTTTGGAGTTCCTAGGAGCTGAAGTTGAACTCAATGTGTTGCCTAGAGATACCTACTTTTGTGTCAGTGATAAAAAGTCAATTCAAGAGCTGATTTTGTTATTATGAGGGAAGACTTTTGTGTCGGTTGCAGAAAAAATAAGTTTTTTTTTTGCTTCATTCCTTCTTCTGTTTCATTTTACCGTTTTGTATTTATTCTGGTTATGTTGTGGTTTTACGATTGTTTGAAATGCAAGTACCTATTCTTTTGTTGGTAGGTTGTCAGTTCGCCTTGGAATTCAAGATATCAAACCATAAGTTTTTGAATGAAATTTGTCAAAGAATCTTGGTAGTAGGAATTCTTAATATAAAGAACACTTCAGTTTTCGTTAGTTCCCATTATTTGGTTACTTCATTCGTTTCTTCTTGATACTCTTCTGTTGCTATTGAGAATGAAGATAACAGTTGATATATCATTGAATTCCTTGAAAGATCCTCCTTCAAGATTCAAAGGTATATATAGGGTGTTCAGAAAAATTTGAAATGTGGCAATATTGGCGATAATATTTTCGAATTCGCCATGTTCTGAAATCCCCCTGTACAAATATTCTAATAAACATATACCTAGATTCCCACTTGGTTCCACACTTTTACCCATCATTATATATTAAACTGTGAGTGGTTCAGAGATGTCATCCATTTAATTAAATGGAGCTCTGGAACATCACAACACCTCTAGAAACCTGTTTTTTTTTTCACAATGACCTACTGATGAAATAAAATAGAACATTGTGCAACAAGTGGAAACATTACTTTTTCCCACATGTTGCAGACTTTTTCTACAACTGCACAAATTCAAAGAATACAAGGTAATGTGGCACGTCGCAACATTCAATATTGCGACGCCTTTCCTGGTTCCTCAAAGTATACCAAAAAAGTACACTTTCCGAAAAAGATTTCATTTATGTACTTTTTCAACACTGTATAGATTTCTCGCATGTCAATTCTTACATATTTCTAGAAGTTTCCGGCAAAAAGGTTAACTTTAGCAGCGTTTTCCATTATCTTTCGCGGTGTATTATCATAATCGTCATTACTCACATTATCAATTCATATTATTTATTATGATTTGTTGGTGCTAATGGAAACTACACTAAGCATATCAAAAACCTTCTGCTGACAGTTGTGACTTTCATTCAAAGCTGAACAGCAGCCAACAGAGTTTTGGTCGATTTTTGTTGTTTCTCCATGGAAATGTATGTGGTCTTGGGAAAGTGCCGTCAGAAGAAATATTCCTCACATTATGGGCAATACATGGTTTCGAAACCAAGTGAGCTATGAGGAATACGCTTTTTTTATAGCAAATGCAAAATATATCTAAAAAATTACTTACCTGTATTTGCTCCCGTAACTATAACTGTTTTTCCCACCAAGCATATTGTACTATGGCACCGACTTGATTTGAATTTATTGAAAACATCGAGAATTATTGCGGCAAGTATGGATAGAATGCCGGCACCCAAGAACCATTCCATTATAATTGTATACAAATACAATTCACACCGTTAACACAAATCTACTATCAAAAACTGAACTTATCGACACAACATTAATATCGTTATTTCAAGTTCAAGTCCGATAATTTCACTCATAAGCCTCGTATTGCTTTCTGTTCGAGAATGACTTATCGGTGATTTGTTAATCCCCAAAAATATCCAATTCATATTCTTTTATGTGAAACAAGACCCAAGACTTCATTCGTTTTAAATTAGGCACCTATTAAAAACATATTATCAGTATCGAATGGTATCAGCTAGAATGATATCTTGAATCGAGTAGATAAGAACGACATAATATTGTGAAAGATTACACTTTTTACGAATTCAATACAGATTGAGTTCTATGATATAATTTTTTTTTAATCCATATAATTATTTATGGAACATTCATTTTTGAGTTGCTATTTTCATTTCTGAACTATTTCTTTCTTTCATTTCGATAACAAATTCTACAGTGTGTCCACTTAGTGCGTAATTCTTCGATATCTCTAAATCCATTATCACTAGATAGAAACTTTTGAAAACAAATCTCTTCCGTTATTGAAGGTTCTATTTCAAAAATATTTTCAGTAATACTGGGCGTTTTATAACAGCGGGAGGACTCGGAGACGAGTTTTTTTAAATAGAACACCCAGTATTTTTTATTCGAAATTCATTCCGCTAATGTTTAGCTCTACATCGCTGTAGAAAAAATTGAATTTGGTTGCGGCGTTGCCAAGTTATAATTGATAAACGCATTTTTACTACTATTGAAGAGTCATGTTGAATTGGGTATGGTTTATTCATTTATCAAAATTTTGAAAATATTTTTGTCATTCAGTAGCAGCAAGGTCTCACGTACACCAATCCAGTAATTATTCGAGATGATCCTTCGCAGGGTGCTAAAATTTATATTTTGAATATTGTTAGATTCAGACGACGTTCATTTCAGATTTATTTCGACATCATTCGCCTTTTCATCGCTGAAATAAAAATTGAAATCGGTTGCGGCGTTTTCAAGTTATGAGTAATTTCCTTATGTTTCACTATCTCAGGGCTACTTATGAGGCATGGTTCCTCTATTTGAGTTGGGTGTGGGAATATTGAGGTTCTACATAGATCATTCAGGTATTTTTGCGATATGTGCATTGTCCAAATTTGAAATATTCCGTAATCTTGGTACTTATGATTTGAATAATATGTATCTATGTGAAACAAACAAACATGCCAAAAGATACGTCTGCCTTAAGAACAACTTCTACAATACAAACAATAGAGATTTGGATTGCGAGAATGAGGACAATTTTCCAAGATTTGAACCACTTTTATTATCTTTAGTCCCACAATCCGAATCTTCATTTAACTTGAAGGAGGCAAACTCTACATAATGATAGAAACAATATTTCTTCACTACGCGGGTTTCGAGAGGGAATTCAGCAAAATTTTGAACAAATTCAAGATCATTACACAAATGATAAAAGTGTATTTCGCAAAATCAATTCATAGTCTGCAAAAAATCTGTGAAAGTAGCATTTTGGATCAATTTTTCAAAGCCCACACTGTTTTAAATTCAAACTTGGAGAGCCTGTGAATGTTCCTATTGTAAAAAAAATATATGAATGGTCAATGAAGTTTGATTTTACAGTATAGCAACGCAATATTTTCACAATACAAATAAATGAAAGAACTATGACGTAAAAATTACCCCGAAATAGTAGTAAAAGTAAGGAAATTATCCATAACTTGAAAACGCCGCAACCGATTTTAATTTTTATTTCAGCGATGAAATGACGAAAGATGTCAGAATGAATTTGTGAATGAAAATACAGTGTGTTCCTTTTGAAAAATTCTAATGAATGTCATCTGAATTTTGCTAAATTTTAAATGCAAAATTGAGCACAATGTAGAAGAACATGTCGCAAAACTACTGGTTAGGTATACGTGAGACCATGCTATTATCGTTTGCCAACAATATTTTCAAAATTTGAATTAATGAATATACCATGTCCAATTCAATATGACTCTTCAATAGTGGTAAAAATGGATTTATCAATTATAACTTGGCAACGCCGCGAACGATTTCATTTTTCTTACAGCGATGTGAAGGTAACTTTCGGCGGAATAAATTCCGAATAAACAATACTGGGTGTTCCATTTAAAAAACTCGCCCCGCTCTTATGAAGCACCCAGTAATGTTGAAAATATTTTTAAAATAAGCAACTTCAGTAACTGGAGAGGTTTTACCTTCGAAGTTTTTCTCTATAGGTTATGGATTTCGGGATATCGAAGAATTACGCACTGAATTGTACCTACTATAGAAAAACAATACTGATGGGTGTCGTAATAAGTATAGTAACCTTTTGTATGAATAACTCATTTTCCAGAAATACCTCATTACTGTGTACCCTCGTGCATATCACTTCCACAATATGGAATCATAATTTTTTCACTCCCAACCTATCAAAGATTTGTTGATCATTGAAAATTCATATGGATATTCAATTCATATTCACGGAGGAAAAGGAATTGTTGAATCAAGCAAAATTTAATTGAATGAAGCATATATAAGTGTCATATATGCACGACAAAATACAATCTTGAAATAAGCAAATCGACATCTTGTTTCGGAGCAAATTTGAAGTCGGATTCAAGTAAATATGTCTTGCATGAACTCTGGATCTCATTTAATCACGCACATTCATGAATCGTTCATGGAGAGATATCGAATTGTATCAAATTAACATTTTGTTTGATTCAAATTAACAAGATATTGATTCGATCAGATATTCAGTTGATTCAATGAAATATTTGGTTGATTCAATGGAATATTTGGTTGATTCAATGAAATATTTGGTTGATTCAATAGAATACTTGGTTGTTTCAAGGAAATGTTTCGTTGATTCGAGAGAAACTGTATTTCCATTCGACAAATTGTTTTGTTGAACCGAATCGGATATTTAATGAAATTTCACATCAATAGAATGAACCAAACTAGGAAACTGGCCGACTTCTAGCCAGATCTCCAATATTTACTTCTCTTCAGCTGATGCGAAACTATTTCGGCTAGCTGAGCATCGTACGTTTGATTCATTCAGCTGATATTTCAAACACGAAGAATGAGGCTTCACGTATATAATAAACATAGACGAGACGAAAATATCGCCATCTAGGGGCGAAAATTCAACTTGATATAGAATGAACGAAGAGTTTGATTGATATAACATATTTTGTTGCCTCATTCAAGCAAATGATCCGTTTCAAACAAGTTCATTGCTACATCTGAATTAAAAAACTCGTATGTTGTTTCAGAGATATTCTCCTATCATGATGATCATCATTTTGTTGGATCAACAAAATGTCCACAGTTGAATCGAAATCGGCATTATTTTGGATCGATGTAATTTGTTTTTGAGATAACCATATATTTCGTTGATGGAATAATCTCTGATGGAATTGATATTATACTAGTGATTCAATTAAACTTCATTCTTGATTTGAACAAGCTGCTTCCATGAGATTATCATGAAGCTGTTTGATTCAACAAAGAATTGCTCAGTCCAACAAAAATAATCCAAGCAAAAATAATGTTTAGATGCAACAAATACTTCCTTTCCATGCAGGTATATAATAACTTTATTAGATCCAATATGACCGATCACAACAGTATTCACATTTACAGAATACAATGTTTCTACCTGTTCCCTAATAATCACTTATTGAATACTTTCATACCTATCTTGCAGGCTGCTTCAGTACCAATCATAATATCCTAAACATCCAAATAATGCTTTTGGGTGTATGATAAATTGACATTCATCATACAGGGCGTGGAAAGAAATTCTGAATTGAGACTCTATCACGAATCTGCGACTAAAGAAGAATGTCAATCCTCAATTTCGGAAAATTTTATTTTTCATGTTCTCCTTTTGAATGTTCATCAGATATAATTCAATGTTCGACGTGGCAAATAGCCAGGAAAGTAGTTGTTTTCTGTTGAATATTCAGAATGATGTGTGCATATACATATTTTTGTCTGAAGGAGAATGCAAATTCTCAATTTCAGGAGTTTTAATATTTCATCTTCAAACTCTTATCGTGTGTGTTCAATATAGATATAACTCAATATTCGTCGTGGCATATAGCCAGGAAAGTAGTTGTTTTTTGTTGAATATTCAGAATGATGTGTGCATATACATTTTATAACTTGGGAGATACTCGTTGGTTTTTAAAAAATACACTTTATTTCGAGCTGAAATATATCTTTGATCGAGACTTTGATTTTGAGTGATGTTACTTAATTTTGATGTGTTCGAATCGAAAGCTCATTCTAGTCTGTTGATTCCCAGTCGTGAATATGCATTCAAGACTGTTATCTTCAGAAAATGCTGAAAATGCACCTCGCGACTTCTCTAGAATCGCGTGGGCAGATTAATCTCATATGATTATATCAAGCAGTGAATTATTTTATAAGTTCAAATGGAATGTCAGGATATAACACCTCCCCCATTAAGATTTTTTCTTAATCTGAAAAACCAATGAATGATTGAGAAAAAATTAAGAATTATTGATATTGAATTAACTTTGAAATAGTCTCGATGGAAGATTATGAAAAATACAATAATAATATATCAATACAGGGTGAGTAAATAAAATAAACATGAATACAATAAAATAAAAAAATCTTCCTTGGCTAAATCCTCTTCGGATTTCTTCTGGATGAAGATGCGATAGGGGCTGTTGGATTCTGCTGGAAAACGATTTCTTCTGTTGAATCGTTGAAGGTAGATAAATGAATCGATGGCCTTCTCGAAACATTCGATCTTACATTGCAATAGTTGAATATTTGTGGACAGCATCTTCCGGGTTGGTTTCCGTCATCTGAGTTGGATCGGCTATTGTAGTATCCCAGAAGTTTTCTTTTACAACAACATTTGAAAAGAAACCATAGGACAAGAAAGATGATGAGTACCATACAAATATACGTAAAAGTACCCAAATGTCTCTGACTGAATGATTCGTTGATCATATGGTTAAGGTTCTGGTCGTATTCATGAAGTTTCTCTTGGGCTATGTTCAGTTCATCGAGATTAAGATGATTGATCTTGATTGGCTTCAAAATGGGCAAATCATCTTTATTT